ACAGGCTGGGGGGGCAGACGGGATCGTGTCTAACTGCTGGGGGGGCAGGGAGGTGTCTATGGGCCGGGAGGGGTCGTGTCCACGTTCCAGGCGGGATGAGCTGGGGGGGACGGGGTCATGTCCACGTGCCAGGTGGGATGGGGGGGGAAACGGGGTCACGTCCGCGTACAGGGTGGGGTGTGGCGGGGGACGACGACGGGGTCACCTCCGCGTACAGGGCGGGGTGTGGCGGGGGACGACGACGGGGTCACCTCCGCGTACCAGGTGGGGGAATGGGGTCACCTCCGCGTACCCGGCGGGACGGGAGGAGAGAGATGGGGTCACATCCGCGTACCCGGCGGGATGGGGGGGAGTGACAGGGTCCTGGCCACTCCCCCACGGGCCGGGAGCTGGGGACGCGGGGCACCCGCCCGGCTGGCACCTACCCGCCTCGTAGCCGGGTGACCCCTCTGCCGAGAGGTTCTCGTCTGAGTCGCTGTCGGACACCTCCAGGGCCGGGTTTTCAAGGGGGAACTCCTCATCCTCGGAGACAGGGGGGCTGGCCAGGGCGCCGGATGGGAGGCAGGCCCCATAGGGGGCACAGGGCTGAAGGGAGCAGGAGAAGGGGTTAACAGGCCCAGCAAGGGGAACGCGCCTGGGGCAGCCCACAGAAAACCTTCCTGCCCCCCATCCCAGCTTTCCCCCCCGCACTTCCCCCAACCAGGACCTCTTCAATGAAGCCCCTCACATAGGGCACACAAATCTGCCACCCAGAGGACCCCCAACACCCTGCTCTAACCACTAGACCCCACTCCCCTCCCAGAGCCGGGGAGAGAACCCAGGAGTCCTGGCTCCCAGCCCCGCCCCGCCCTGCTCTAACCACTAGACCCCACTCCCCTCCCAGAGCCGGGGAGAGAACCCAGGAGTCCTGGCTCCCAGCCTCCCCACGCGCCAGGCAGTGCCCCTCACCTGGGTGCTGTAGTCCTCCGGCGCGAGGTGGCTCTGGCCTGGTGGCGCCCCGTCCAGGCTGTAGACAGCCTCCAGCGAGAGCTGTGGGTAGGGGCCATGCGTGTAGGAGACCTGGACGTTCTGCAGTGGGGCCAGCTGCCCCGAATCGAAGGCCTCGTAGCCAAGATCCTGTAGCTCCAGCCAGTTCACAACAGGATCTGCCAAGCAAGGGGGGTGGGGGACAGCATGAGCTGGGGAAAGAACCCAGGAGTCCTGGCTCCCA